AAAAAAAAAAAAAAAATTCAATTTTCGAATAACTCAAATAAATACCTTCTGTAGAGTAAAAGAAAGAACTCTTAATTGGCCAATTCTTGTTTTTGTATCCTTTCAAAGTATTTGTAACCCTATATATACTATTTGGATGCAAAAATCCACGATCATATATTCTCATTACTAATTTAAGAATTTGAAGATTAAAAAAAAAAATTTGAAAAAAAAAATTTAAACATACCGTTATCATAACTATTCACACCAACGTATCTTGCCTCATCGTCACCTTAAAAAAGGAGTAAATAAAATTTCTTATTTAATAAAAAATGTATACTTGAAGAAAAATTACAAGAAGAGATATGTGAAATTGGTTTTTTTGTTGGTTCATTCAAATGAGATTGAAAACATTTCTGAGTGCGTACATCCCTGCAATTAAAAGATTTGAAATTAAACTGAAAAAAAAGTAATTTCATTTTATACCAAGTTTTTAAGTATCCTAGAGAATCACCTGATAAAACATAATTTCCGTCATTATAAACTAGACTGGCAAAAAAAAATAAAATTTAATTTGATTTTAAACAATATTATTTATTTAAAATTTAATTTTTTGTACATTGAGTTAACCATTGAATCATTTTTTATAGTATAAGCTATTGCAGATTTTCGCCTATCAAAAATCCCTAGGGCATTTCTTGTTGTACCGCAAAAGAATATTTGATCATCTAAAAAATTTAAAAGAGAGAAAAATTTGTCATTACTATTAGGGTCAAACTGCACACACTGAACGAATCCATCGGTATCGTAGTTTTCTACCAATTTTCCAGGATCAATTGACCAGGTTTTACAAGTTTGATCATACCCACCACTTAAAATTGATTTGGAATCTTTACTCCAATCCAAATCGGAAACATTTAGATTATGCTTTTTTAAACTAATTAGTTCTTTTTGTGAAATAGTATCCCAAACTCTGACAGTCTAAAAAATATAAAGATATAGAAAATCAAAAGAAAATAAAAGCCATTTTTAGTACTTTGTCAAAAGAACCAGAGGCAATAAATTTTGTGCATTTTGAAAATTTAACAGCATATACAGCTCCTGTATGTCCTTTTAAGTCATGCTTTAGAGTAAAATATTTTCCATTTTTTCCCAACTTCTTCTCATTTCTCGGCACTACTTTTTGATTAAAAAAGAAAAATAATTTTTTGTTCAGATGACGGATTGTAATTTATTACCACCATCATCAATAATTGTACTTTCTTGGTTACTGGTATTTGATGAGTTGCTAACAACAATTGAAGAACTAATTTCTGCAGTAAGTAAACTGGAATTGTTTCCATTTAATTCAGTACTAGAATCCTTATTGCTTTGACTAACGGAATGATTTATTGAATTGGATAAATGTAAAGAATTTTCTGAGGTTTCAATTGGTTCAAAAATAGTAAAATTTAGTAAATTTTGTTGTTTCGTTTGTTGATTCAAAAAAATCTATGAATTTTAGAAAAAAAAATATAATGTATAAGTATTTTGTCTGATATTTTTTACTTTATTGGCTAAGACATTATATCTAACCGATAAATCATATAAACTTTTTTTTAAAGCTATATTTTCTTTTTCCAACAGATCACTTTTTAATTTATTAGCTTTTGCTTCCTTGTAAGTTTTGTCTAACTGATCTCTTAAATATCTGTCATATATTTTTTTTTAATTTTCGTAAATTTCATAATTTTGGAAAATATTGCATTTTTTTGTTTCTTACGTATCAGAAGTAATTTGACTTTTTTTACTACTTTCCATTCTTATTGGTTAATAAAAAAAAAATGAATAAGTTAGAGTTTAGAAAAGAAATTAAAGTTTTAATGATTGTTCTTTAAATTAAATTATTTTATTTTTCTTTTGTTATAATCTAAGTGAAAATACAAACGAAAAGGAAATTTTTTTACTTGCGAAAATAAAAAAAAAAATTTTTTTTTCTCAAACCTAAAATTTCATCCAAATCTATGCCTTTTTCTCAAGTGAGGTTTCTTTGCATTTTATATGGATAACGCAATAAATTTAATTTAGTTAAGGTACTGCATATATAAACATCTCTATCTAAGATTGTTTTTAACCTTTTTCTTGTAAATGTAAAATTTTCCCCTACACTTTTTTAACCTTTTATTTTTCATTTTTAAATTGTTAAAAAATTATTCAAATTTATAGAATATCTTCAATTTTAATTATCAAATAAAGAAAACATTATAAAAAAAACACTAAAAATAAACCAGTAATGACCGTAACTTCAACTGAAGGATTCAACAATAAATACAAATTTATTACCGATCTAATTTTTAAGATACAGAAAAAGTAATATAATGAAAAACAGAGATTCACTAAAAACAAAAAAAAAAAAAAAAAGTCAAGGTAAAATGTCAGTGGAGATCGAAACATTAGCGTTAAAATTTTTAAGAGAAATTGAAAAGAAGATTGAAGCCATTGAAGAAACAAAAAAAAATTTGGATGTGGAAGAAAGTGATCTATTGGAAAAATATAATGTTATCAAACGTGAGCTTAATAGCATAAAATAAAAAAAAAAAAAAGGAAATGTAATTATACTGTATTATAGTTTTTATTTTGTTTTTTCCTTATTAAATTACATTTTTGTATATTGATTAATTATGGCAAAAACAATTCATTTTTTAATATTCTGTTTCATTACCTTTCACAACTTTTATGGTTTAATGGATGAATTTTTTAAAGTAATTGTTTTGTAGATTTCTCACTTAAATTCAGATTAATCGCTTCTCATTACCAGAAAATTACCTATTATCAAAGAAAAAGTACAATGGCAATTTTAAATAAAAATGGGAAGTCAATAAAATGTTGAAATATATCTTCATGTAATCTAAAATATTAAATTTGCTAATGGGCCTATGGCCTAATGGATATGGCGCTTGACTACGAATCAAGAGATTCCAGGTTCGACCCCTGGTTGGCTCATTTTTTTTTCCCAAAAATTTGTTAAGAAGTAGAATAAAAAGTATTACTAATTTTTGTAAATAAATATGAAATTTCTAAACTGATGAAGAAAATTTTAGAAAAATAAAATAGATTATAAAAAAAAAAAAAAACGATTAATGTCTAATATTTTTTTTCACTTTTTTCAATTCTTTCCATCTCTAATTCAACTTTGGCTTTCCCTTCTTTTCGTCTATTTCTTTCCTCATAAAGTTTTCTATTTTCAATAATTCTATTAATAATTCCATCAGTCTGTAAATCAGGTAAAGGTGATTCTAACACTCTAAATATTCCTTTTGAAATAGGATATTCGTAAGGATTTTCACCATTAACGTCACCATCTATAGTTGTCGATCCGTGATAGACATAGTCAACGTGATGGAACTGTGAAAGAACTTCTTTATCTACACTATAGGGTGCTCCCAAAACAATGTCATCAACATACTTTTTTATTTTATTTATTTTAATGTTGTTACAAAAAAAAAGTATATAAATTACGTACTCTGCAAGCTAAAACTCCCATTGCTCTCTCTTTTAAAGTCATGATTGGATAATTCGAACCTTTGACTTTGTTTACAACTACCAAGATAAAAAAATAATAAAATTCAAATAAAAAATTTACGGATAATAGATATACCTAAATCATCATGAATTCCTACAATCAAATAATCGCATTCTTTTTTTACTTTTTTTAAAAACTGAACATGCCCAACATGAAACAAATCAAATCCTCCGTCAACATAAACAACTTTATCCGTTGGTCTAATTGGTTTGTTATTTCTAAATTGCTATATAAATTAAAAGATAAAAATTAAAAATATGGATTGCACATACTGCAATAAACTGCTCTAAAGGATCTTTTTTATTAACAGGACCTTTTCTTAAATGTTCCTTTGACATAAGTAACATTCTACCAACAATATCAGTTGTTGAAACTCCTTCAGTTCTCTTACATTCTTTGTATAATCCAGCATCCTTTACTGCTTGATAACAATCCGTACCATCTGCCAATGTCGTTATATCATCACCGTGAACGCAAAAGTCACAGTCATTTTCTTTCAATAATTCAACAGCTTAAAATAAAGAGATTATCAAAAACGACAATTTTTTGAATTAATCCTACTAGTAAAATAAGGCGCATTTTCAACTACTTTATCAACCCATTTACATGCCCTAACGGCTTCATATCTTTCTTTTTCATTCATAACGGTTGGTCCTTTTTAAAAAAACCAAATGTTGATATTATTAATTAAGAACTTTTTTAATACAGAAAAAATTGAGACTTTTAAAATTAGATTATGCTAACAAACCTTTGTTATATAAAATTTCTGCATCTGAATGAACACCAACAATTAAAATATCACCCATTAATTTTGCTTGTCGTAAAGCATTTGAATGACCAGCGTGCTTTACATGAAATTCTTAAAATAATAAAAATTAAAATTACCATCATATCAAAACATCCGTCAACCCAAATTGTAATTGGTTTTTTTTCTGTTAACATGGTATTATAAAAGATATAGATTAAGTTGAAGGTGAAAAGTACAGCGAAAAAATGGTGGAAAAAAAAATAAAAAAAAAAAAAGGCTTATATATTCAAATTGAATTTTCTTAAGTTTTTCATTAAATCGTTTTAAACAAAATTGTCAAGTTCTTACTGAATTTTAAAATTGTTCTTAAACAATTTTTAAATAGTGGATGTAGAAAACTAAAACTAAAATAGCTTAATAGGTTTTGATGATGATGTAAATTTGTAATAGTTAAAATATCAACTATATTTTATACCATTTAAAATCTAAATAGAATGTAAGTTTTGAACAGTATCTGGTTGTAAGAATTAGCGCTAAAAATTGGAATATATGTATTTGATGTTGGTTCTAATTTTCTTTTTTCAAATTACTTTTCTACTAATGCAAACATTTTTTTTGCTTTTCTTTATACATAATATTCGTTATGAGAAGTTGACAGCCTTCTAATATCTTTTTCTCTGCTTAATTATCCTGCAAAGTGATTGGCTAACAAAAACTTTTCTAATGTGGGATTAAATTCCAACATTTGATGGTTAAAATGCAAAAAAGAATATCCTTAAATAAGAAATTTTCTTCAAAAGATGCTCTAACACTGGAAAAAGCTCGATCGCCAACTGCATCTAATAAAAGCAATACACCTTCATGTGCAACTGCACCTTCAAAAATTACACAATTTAAACTCAATGTTAAACCCACAACTGGAACAAGAAGCAGGGCTAATTCTATTAAAACTTCTCAGTTTGATGTATTTGAACTTCAGGAACGGCTGCTACATCGTCGCAACACTGTCAAAAAAATAACTTCAGCAGTTGGAACACCTGGAAAAAATTTTAATGAAGTTTACTCAGAAGATTTCGCAAATGATAAAAGTATAAAATTAAACTTAAAGATTCCAAATTTGTTTGAAAACCAACAAAAACGATTAAAAAATTTGGAACGTAATATCCGATCAGTGTGTGCAAATTTAAATCCAGAAACAAAAATAAATTTTAGGCATTATGACGTTTTAGAAGAAAGGAGGAAGAGATTAAAAGAGTTTGAAGAAATTCCAACATCAGCCTCTGACTATAATACTGCAATCGATAAATCTGAAAACCAACAGCATAGAACATCAACTTCACATAAAGCTTTCACAAACTGGTAAGCACGTATTAAAAATAAACATGTATTTATTTAATGTTCAATAGGAAGAGGGCTTCTCTGTATGGTAAAGTAATATTTGCGATGAAACCTGTGCGCGACACCAACAATGAGGTCATTGCATCTGAATTTGAAGCAAAAACTGCTTTGGCTGAGAATGTTGAGACTTTTGACGATATTCACAAAAAAAAGGCAGTAAAAGTTGCTGCAATAATAAAATTACAAAAGAGTGTGCCAGTTGTAAAAAAAAATGGAAGAAAGATTTTGGATAAAAAATTATTTAGTACAGAGATTAATGGAGGGATTGTAGAAAGCAATGAAAATTTGATAAAGGAAAAAGTGGGTAAAACAGAGAACTTTTCCTGCATCCCCATGGATACGCAACTAAAGGCGATGCAAATGATGGAGTGTAAAAATATACTAAAGGTCTTTGAATCCAAAGGTTTAGAAGATAAAATAACAGAAAAAGCTTTAGTAAAGAGTTTGGTTTTTCCTGAAGAAGTTTTACATAAGGGTCCACAAAAATTAAAAAAGAAGAAGGAAAGAGGCCCCAATCAAAATTACATAAATTCTTTATCTCTGTCTAGAAAAGAAACGCTTTTAAAAAAACTATTAAAAAACAACTCAGTTTATTCTGATAACGATAGTAGTGATGAAACTGGCTCGAACTATAGCGATTCTGAATGCAGCTCACAAATCTACAGTGAAAAAAAAACAAAGGTTAGTTCAGCCAAATTGAGAAAAATACAGAAAAGAATCCAAGAAAGAAATGCCAAAGATTGGTTTAACTTTCCAAATATTGTTGCAAGACCTGTGAATTTTGAAGAGTTATTGGAAGAACAAATCAATAACACAAGTGATAAAAACAGGTGTAAAGTTAAATCATACTGGAAAAAAAATGAATTTTTAAAAATAAAAAGAAATTTCGAATTAAAAAAAATGACTGATTTAAAGTCAAAAGAAGAAAAAAAATTGAAATTAAATACTTTAAAGAAACTAAAACTGGAAAGTCGGAATGTTAAAAATACCCTTAATGGTTCACGAAGGTTTTTAAGTAGCAAAAAAGCCAAAACAACTGAGAATAATTTAATTTTGGTAGAGAAATCCAGCGAAATTGATGAAAGCGCTAATAATACCTGGTTCCCTTCCTTTGATCACCCCGGAAACTTGCATCCAACTAGTGAATCACTCTTTGGCAAAACTAGTAATGCAACTAGTAGAGTTGGGTCTTCTTTTGTTAGGAAGGTAGGCGAAGACTTTTCTGGTTTTTTACCACAAATTAAACCTCAAGATTTAAGTACAATGCACATTCAAGAATTTTACACCAAATATAAGCCTAATGTACTTTAACCTACCTAACATTAAATACAATAAATTTCATATTTTTTCATTCATTTCATCTCATAAATGCCTTATGGTATCTGTTGATGTAATATGTACAGTCAATCAAAAAATTTTCTTCAGGGTTTATGTATCCAAGAAAATAGGCTTGATTACTGTCAACTTCATTAGAAATTTGATCTGTTTTATTGAAAATATTGCATTACTATACTATTGATTGCTTGAAAAATGTTTGATTCGAATTGCTTACTATGCAATGGAATTCAAATTTCTGAACTAGATTTAAAGATTTTAAACTTAAATTATTTACGTGCTGAAAAAGAAAATAACTTTACTTTAGAACTAATTGAATCCTTAATGCTACCGCTAAATAATATATATAATAATTTAGCCTTTTCTTGCCCGAATTGTTCAAATTTAGAAACTGTTGGCCTAGTAGTATGCTTAACTTTAATTTTTGCTATTGTTTTAAAAAACTTTTTGTAAGGGTGAAACTGGGTCTGGGAAATCTTCATTGCTAAATTTATTGCTGAAAAATAAATTGGTGGGTGAGGTGGATTTACTGGGATTTAACGTTTTAAGTTGCAGCAATGGAGTTAAAACTGGTGGTGGAGCAGAAGCCATTACATTACTACCAAAATTTTATCCTTATGAGGGCCTAATTTTTGTCGATTTTCCTGGATTGAATGACACCAGGTACACTGCTTATTTTTATTGCAGTGCTCATCTTATTTTTTAGAGGACCTTATATTGAATTGTTAATCCATCTTTTTTATAAATTACTTATTTTAAAGAGAAAATTTAAATTTATCGTTGTTCAATCTTACTTGGCACTCTCAGAACGAACCTCATTAAAAAAGTTTGCAAGTTTAGTTAATTGCTCATTTTTACACGCATCAAACAGTGTGGTTGTGTATACCAAGATTAGTAGTGAAGATGGCTCGAAAAAGAAAAATTCAGGTACTATACCAA